GATAGGCAGGCATAAGCTACGGACAACGAACACAATTGCATTTCATCGATGGCAATTTGAATGCACAGAGATATCGTGAAAAGATCCTGAGGCCCATTGTCGTGCCATTCATCTGCCACCATCACCTCATGTTTTAGCATGATAATGCACGGCCCCATGTCGCAAGGATCTATTTCAATTGACTGATTTCCTTAAATGAACTGTAACTCAGTAAAGTCTTTGAAATTGTTGCATGTTGCGTTCATATTTTGGTTCAGTATAATTCCACTGCTCTATCTATCGCTACATACGTTCAGTCTGAGACTGCCATCGTAGAAGTCGTTTCTGCTGACGTCAAAGTGAGGGGCAAGAAAAATCATACTTCATATAGGCTACCTGGTGAATCTTTATAATGAGTTGCCTGGCTCAAGAGATGTGAAGGTGTGATAGGTTACTAAGGATTGTGCAGCAATAATTAAAATAGAAAGGTTGCTACTGTACTTTTTAAATGATTAGAATGCATGGGCATAAATAATCAGCAATAACCATTTAATAAACATGGCTGGAAGAAGAGAGAAGCAAGGGAGAAGGAGAGAAAGAGAGAGACAAAGGATGGAGGAGAGAGAACGAAAGAAATGCAGGGGCTAACCAGAGAAGAGACAGACCTGTCACCAGTGGAAGAGACTGATAAAGACGTGTGTCCAGTTAAGCTGTGATAGCTGCCTCAATATTTAATTAACCACTCACATCAAGATAAAGATTAATTACTTCATTAAATTAAAGTATTCAGGAGAAGAAGTCTCTACCTAGTCCCGTGTAGCTCAGTTGGTAGAGCATGGCGCTTGCAACGCCAGGGTTGTAGGTTCGATTCCCACGGGGGACCAGTATGAAAAAATGTATGCACTCACTAACTGTAAGTTGCACTGGATAAGAGCGTCTGCTAAATGACTAAAATGTAAAATGTAGGTTTCCTCCTGGAGGAGGGGGAAGGATGGAAGCATTGCCTGGCGTGAGCAACCTATGAAAGGCAGTCATTATTTTACCTCCAGTGGAAGTTGGTCGCTTTCACTGAATCCCAGTGATGCGTAAACTTGTCACAAAACACTGCACTGTGAAATGTGGAAATAAAGGTTTTATGAGGGAGCATAAGGAGAGTATTAGAGATTTAGAGAGCATTTTCTGGAACAAAAACAATTCTCCCCTGGTTGCTGTGGATACTAACTCAGTGCAGCTCAGCCCTCTCAGCACATGAGTTTTGTGAGAGCCTGTGGTAGCTGGGAATGGGATATAGAAATGCTATCTACAGTGAGAATGTAATCCAGTCCTCCACTTGTTGCTTCTGGGTTGTTTGAAAACAGTGATGTGCCAAGGTTGAGGGTACAGTGGAGGAAGGGGAGTGGTGTAACTGGAGCCAGATGTACCAATGGGATTAAGGCTTTAGTTTAGTAAACCCAGACTGACTGAGCTGTGTTGGCCGGCCCCATAGAGATAGAATTTCCAGAGGACATACAGTACATAGCCTATTTACTTATAGCCTGAGTGCCAGTCTGTTTGTGCCATCATGCAAAACATTGTTTGGTTTGACAATGACAGCAATAGTTGTCAAGGGCACAAACAGATCTGGGGAACTTTTTACTGCAGTCAAAATCTAATATTTTTTCCAGTCAAAAACCAATTAGCTTTATCACATCTATGGCAGCACAAAATAATGTATTGTTGCTGCATGTGTACAATGAGAAAGGCACATGATTCTGAGGAATGATGTTGTAAAGCTCTAGGTAGTAACCACAAATCTGTGATCAGATTACTTTAGCCCAATCCTAACCTTAATTTGAAGAACCACCTGATCCGATATAGTCAGTGAGAATGTATGCCTTCACCTGTGATGTTTCATTGGTACTAGCATTAAAACATGCACCATTAGTCTAAATAAACTGGTAAATTGTTCAGGATAAAGTTTCCATTACAAAAAACATGTTTTGCTCAAAATGTATGTTTTTTTATTTTTTTTATCCAGTTTTCAGAGATGCAGATTAAGCCCAATCCTGTTATAATTATGTTCAAATGATTCCTCATTGCAAGTGCTTCTTAGTCCTAAACAAATTGTTATCTGTGTCCAGGAATCCAGCCCCCAAATGAAACAGCGCAGTCAGTTCAGATAGTTGAAATGGTCCACCCACACAGACAGTGTGGTGAAGAAGGCGCAACAGAGCCTCTTCAACCTCAGGAGGCTGAAGAAATTTGGCTTGGCACCTAAAACCCTCACAAACTTTTACAGATGCACAATTGAGAGCATCCTGTCGGGCTGTATCTCCGGTGCGGTCTGCCCAACGCATTACCGGGGGCAAACTACCTGCCCTCCAGGACACCTACAGCACCCGATGTCACAGGAAGGCCAAAAAGATCATCAAGGACATCAACCACCCGAGCCACTGCCTGTTCACCCCGCCATCATCCAGAAGGCGAGGTCAGTACAGGTGCATCAAAGCTGGGACAGAGAATGAAAAACAGCTTCTACAGTGCCTTGCAAAAGTATTCATCCCCCTTGATGATTTTTCCTATTTTGTTGCATTACAACCTGTAATTTAAATTGATTTTTATTTGGATTTCATGTAACGGACATACACAAAATAGTCCAAATTGGTGAAGTGAAATGAAAAAAATAACTTGTTTCAAATAATTCTAAAAAATAAATAATGGAAAAGTGATGTGGCAAGCTTATAGAGACATACCCCAAGAGTCTTGCAGCTGTAATTGCTGCAAAAGGTGGCTCTACAATGTATGGACTTTTGGGGGGTGAATAGTTATGCACGCTCAAGTTTTTTTTTGGTCTTGTTTCTTGTTTGTTTCACAATAAAAAATATTTTGCATCTTCAAAGTGGTAGGCATGTTGTGTAAATCAAATGATACAACCCCCCCCAAAATCAATTTTAATGCCAAAATAGGAAAAATGCCAGGGGGGGATACTTTCGCAAGCCACTATCTCAAGGCCATCAGACTGTTAAATAGCCATCACTAGCACATTAGAGGCTGCTGCCTATAGACAGACTAGAAATCACTGGCCACATTAATAGGACACTAGTCACTTTAATGTTTACATATCCTGCATTATTCATCTCATATGTACAGTATCTCACAAAAGTGAGTATACCCCTCACATTTTTGTAAATATGAGTATATCTTTTCATGTGACAACACTGAAGAAATGACACTTTGCTACAATGTAAAGTAGTGAGTGTACATCTTGTATAACAGTGTACATTTGCTGTCCCCTCAAAATAACTCAACACACAGCCATTAATGTCTAAACCGCTGGCAACAAAAGTGAGTACACCCCTAAGTGAAAATGTCCAAATTGGGCCCAATTAGGAATTTTCCCTCCCTGGTGTCATGTGACTCATTAGTGTTACAAGGTCTCAGGTGTGAATGGGGAGAAGGTGTGTTAAATTTGGTGTCATCGCTCTCACACTCCCTCATACTGGTCACTAGAAGTTCAACATGGCACCTCATGGCAAAGAACTCTGAGGATCTGAAAAAAAGAATTGTTGCTCTACATAAAGATGGCCTGGGCTATAAGAAGATTGCCAAGACCCTGAAACTGAGCTGCAGCACGGTGGCCAAGACCATACAGCGGTTTAACAGGACAGGTTCCACTCAGAACAGGCCTCGCCATGGTCGACCAAAGAAGTTGAGTGCACGTGCTCAGCGTCATATCCAGAGGTTGTCTTTGGGAAATAGACGTATGAGTGCTGCCAGCATTGCTGCAGAGGTTGAAGGGGTGGGGGGTCAGCCTGTCAGTGCTCAGACCATACGCCGCACACTGCAACAAATTGGTCTGCATGGCTGTCGTCCCAGAAGGAAGCCTCTTCTAAAGATGATACACAAGAAAGCCCGAAAAACAGTTTGCTGAAGACAATCAGACTAAGGACATGGATTACTGGAACCATGTCCTGTGGTCTGATGAGACCAAGATAAACTTATTTGGTTCAGATGGTGCGAAGCGTGTGTGGCGGCAACCAGGTGAGGAGTACAAAGACAAGTGTGTCTTGCCTACAGTCAAGCATGGTGGTGGGAGTGTCATGGTCTGGGGCTGCATGAGCGCTGCCGGCACTGGGGAGCTACAGTTCATTGAAGGAACCATGAATGCCAACATGTACTGTGACTTACTGAAGCAGAGCATGATCCCCTCCCTTCGGCGACTGGGCCGCAGGGCAGTATTCCAACATGATAACGACCCCAAATACACCTCCAAGACGACCACTGCCTTGCTAAAGAAGCTGAGGGTAAAGGTGATGGACTGGCCAAGCATGTCTCCAGACCTAAACCCTATTGAGCATCTGTGGGGCATCCTCAAACAGAAGGTGGAGGAGTGCAAGGTCTCTAACATCCACCAGCTCCGTGATGTCATCATGGAGGAGTGGAAGAGGACTCCAGTGGCAACCTGTGAAGCTCTGGTGAACTCCATGCCCATGAGGGTTAAGGCAGTGCTGGAAAATGGTGGCCACACAATAGACACTTTGGGCCCAATTAGGACATTTTCACTTAGGGGTGTACTCACTTTTGTTGCCAGCGGTTTAGACATTAATGGCTGTGTTTTATTTTGAGGGGACAGCAAATTTACAGTTATACAAGCTGTACACTCACTACTTTACATTGTAGCAAAGTGTAATTTCTTCAGTGTTGCCACATGAAAAGATATACTCATATTTACAAAAATGTGAGGGGTGTACTCACTTGTGAGATACTGTATTCTATACTATTCTACTGTATCTTAGTCCATGCCGCTCTGTCATTGCTCGTCCATATATGTATATATTCTTAATCCCATTCCTTACTTAGATGTGTGTATTGGGTATATGTTGTGAAATTGTTAGATATTACTGCACTGTCGGAGCTAGAAGCACAAGAATTTCACTACACCCGCAATAACATCTGTAAAACACATGTACTTGACAAATAACATTTGATTTGATCATGGGCACCACCTTGTGGTTGCAAATAAAATGTGAATAATAAGTAAATCAGAATCAAATTATTTATTGGGAAATTGAGTTCATGAATACAACATTGGGGTGGTTAACATGACCACAAAATATATTTACAGACATATCTACAAATCAAAATGCGCATTTGTTTTCCAAACAGATGAGAGGGAGAGTGAGAAAGGGAAAGAGGGATTGTGGAGAAATCTTGATCTTCCTCAGAGGGCTGGATAGGTCACAGGTTAACAACTGAACAGTACACTCCTGAGCTAGAATAAGAACCCTGGTCACAGAAAAGACAGGGGGATCCTTTAGTAGAACCCTTTTACCATTGTCCAGCCAGTATCAATCTCAATTCAGACTGCATTAATCAAACTGCTGATATCAATGAATGTATCCAAATACATCAACTTGTATTTAGACCCATATTACCATAACCCCCCTCATGGACGCTGGAAGAGCTAGACAATCTATCAACCAGCAGAAATGTAGAATACAGATAAAACCAAAACCAACAGCGATGCCATGATACAGAGGTAATCAACAGTCAGCCATGACATCCCTTACTTTTCCTCACAACAGGAAGTTCCTCCTCCCCATCCACAGGAAGTAGGAACCAACCCCCTCTGTTCTTCCATTGGACTTTGGACCAGGGAGGTTTAGGAAGCCTCCTCATCAATTTTGGGTGCCAGGTAGTACTTAACGTGGCCCATGTCAGCTATCTTGTACTCCACCACTGTCAAAGATCAGATTAGTAAAATTTGATTAGTCAGACATCAGGAAACAAAACCGCACAGTACTAGGATGTGTGTTTATTGGGCTCGTTAGGGGCAGGGTACCTACCGAGGGGGATGTCTGCAGACATGCTGAGGATGACGGTTTTGGAGAGGGGTGTGGCTTTGGTGAAGAAGTTTAGGTAGTTAAGTGCGAAGATCAACTGGACTGGTTCGTTCATCTCAACAGTCACCTGAGAGTAAGGAAGGAGGGGGAGATAAGAGATTGAATTCAAACGCAAATCCTCCAGTGAGCCCAAACAAAACTAGTGAATCTTTGCTGTCCAAGAGAACCATCTTAACGGAACTGGTGATGGAGCAATTCAAACAGAATTGTCAGTCCATCAAGTGCAGTTTCTCCTGCCCCATCCCTCCCACGTTTCACTCTGGGAGATTGGTCCCAAATAATATAGTGCATTATATAGGTAATGGGTTCTCATTTGGGACACAGACCACCCTCCACCCATACTTACAGCTTCCTCCTCCTTGTCCACATTGCTGGTCTGGGACAACTTGACGTTGCCGGTGCCCAGCTCTCCCGTGGCAGAAAACTTAACTCCATCCTTGGCGCAAGAGATCATGACGGCGTCACCAATCTGAGAAAGGTCACGGCAGATACGGGCAAACTCCCCTGATGGCATCTTCACCACACAGCTGTACTCCTGCTCCTGGGGGGGGAATCATGGGAGAATGTGGCTACTGGGGTGGTGTGATCCGGTGACAAATGCTACTGCCACTACGACTATTATTACTTAATGGAATGTTGGGAGAAGAACACTTACTGGGATTCCCAACTGTTCTACATCAAGATCCATCAGCTTCATCTCATAGTCGGACACCTTTTCCTGGTCTGAGCGAGAGAGACAGATTAACACTCATCTCTAATTAAACATCTAAATACATTATCAAGCATACATAAATGATAGCATTGGATTATCATGGTTCCTGACCGTTCAAGTTTTACTACTACTGGTATGAACCTCTGAACATATCAATTCTAGCTCGAAATGAAATATCCCTACACTAAGAGTAGAGCTATTGATATGGATTGATGGATAAAGGTACTCACTGAGTGTCTCAAAGACAAGGGCGAGTGTGTCTGCGTTGTCCTCTGCTCTGAGAGTGATGATGTCCTCATTCCCAGCACACTTCAGGATCTTTGACATACTAGGAGGAAGTGGGTGGTAGGCCAGTCAGTATCTGGCATACTGTTACAGGAACAAGTTTTAAAACACTATTCCTTATTTTGAGTGATCAGTATAAAAAGTTGTCACCATTATCAGGTCTGTCCCGAAAGATGATATGCCATCATTTCACTCAAAAAACACCATATATTCTTAAATTTCTGACGCCCTGTAAAGTAGATTCGATGTTATTTGTGTGGAAGGCCATTTCAATAAATGGTGTATTTGAATAATTTATCTCCGCTTTTTCATTGGCTATGTAGTTTTGTCATTCAAATGTAGGTCATTATGCCACTGCATGAAGCACCATTGTCGAAGTCAAGATCTACTACAAGTTGGATACATTACACAGATGCATTATGAGAACGTATAATGTATTTTTATATGGTTGGTAAGCGTGATCATTTGATCCATTTAGCAAGTAGACAATTTCAGCACAATAGTGACTGACGTCAGCTGACCTTCGCGAGTTCGAGAAATTCCCGCCAACCATCACCCAGAGAAGGCAGTGGATTTGGCGCTCAAATTACGTCACACGTAATTTTCAAAAGGCGGCTTTGCACCATACATATTGTAGTATAACGACAAAATGCCGATTTACCCGTAACAAAAATGTAACGTCTAAAATGTCCTCCTTACAGTAAAAAGTTGTATGACAGCAGAGTACAACTTCAAGACGCCAACTCAAGAAGCCAGACTAACTAACGCTAGTTACCTTGCTAACTGGCTGTAAATTCAGCCAATTAGACAAAATCATAAAATATCACAAACTATATTCCTTCTAAACTAACGCCAAGTTATTGTTCTCTGGCTAAACTTCACAACTATGCTGTCATATTCAATTAGTTCTGTTTACCTGCTAAGATTGACTCCCATGGCGAGATTGCGGTCGCAGCGGTAAGAGTCGAACCCGTCGCTGCGGAGGGTGAGCTGGACTAGGGAGACGTGGGACGAATCCATACTCTGGAGGGAGATACCCGACGAGCTCACGTCCCAACAGGCCTCCGTGATCAGGTCCTTCAGAGCCTCCAAAACTTTCTTCAGGATGGATCCCTGTACCAAGCGAGCCTCAAACATGGTGGATTCTGTGTTTGGTTCAAGTAGAAATAAGAAAACCTTTACTGAGACGTTTTCCCGTCAACTTTAGTGTTGCAGTCTAAAGTTACTTGGTTACAAAGGAGTCCTTTTCTCGCTTCACAAAGTGCGACACAAGCTGTCTCTTCTCTTTCTGGAGGGAAACTGGTTTGTGCGGCTCATTGGCGCGCGCTAAAATTGTTGTTTTAATGCGTTTGCGTCATTTCCCTTGAAACATGTGTTCATCCGGCTCCTCCCACTGAAGAAACTAAGGTACGCTATTCTCCATCTTGATCTAATTGAGCCAAAATGGTATGTGTTACAACCGCCTCCCCAAATGCAAGGAAGTGATCAAAATAATCAAGTTCGATGCAGACCCGGTGCCAGAACGAATCAGTTGGACGGGCATTTGATTTCCATAGGCGGGCCCGTTTTTTCACGGGACCTCCTATGTGTGCACACGCTTGCACGCATTTTTGAAACGGGTGTAATACAGATAGAACAATGAGACAGATATTTCACTGGATGTTAAAATGTGAAGCATCCGATCGGCGTTTCCACTCACTACCAAATGTGGTAGTGAGAGGAAGCCCACTGGCGGGCAGAGGGAGAAGATGGAACGAGATGGATTTTGGCCGACACACTGCACATTTTGTCATCGATTAAACATTTGATCTCAATACAGTTTTCTGTTCCCAGAACTAGAATCTGTTATGAACATAGTGGACTAAGATTTGCAGACTTTACCCTTTGCAAAAGTTGTAAAACATCGCGCTGTTTAGGAGTGCAAAGGCGAGTTGAGTTATGGCACACGCGCACTTCAGAGTAGGCGTTCCCTAACGGAAATATGCAGATGTATACTAGAACGCGCCAATAGAATATCGCTAGCGCTTGCTTGGCTCTGCCCACCTCCTTGCTTCTTCTGCCCACTTTGACTCATTTGTTCCCATTGGAAACGACAACCTGTGGTATATCTTGGTTTAGATATAAAAAATATTTGGTGCAATAGTAAAGACCATCGACCATTTTCTGTGTTTGCAGACATTGCCGCACGAGGGCGATGCGCGCAAATTGGTGGCAGAACATGAGCGTTAGCATTCTAGCTAACAACAGCTGCATCCAAAATATTGATTTAACAAAGATCACAACCAAATATAATCTTAGCGACTGTTCAAGCAAGAATCAAAACATCATTGTAAGCGTATGAGAACACAAAACAGTTGTTTTGTGTAGGCTTACCCTGGCGTGACTTTTTGATAACCGTGTAAATCTCTCGGACAACGGGATGTGAGCAAATTGCTTCCTCTCAATATATTCGGCTCTATTTACCCTGATTCAAATAATGCTCATTTGCATCAAAGTAGACATTATGCAAGACTACAAATGCTTGCAAGCTCCTGCATGTCATCTGTCGCTGGCACCTTTGATAAAAGGTCAATTTAAAGAAATGTAGCTAATTTTTCAATTTCTACATTAAACTAACATTAGATAGTTAATCCAAAGATTCTCAACCTTTGCCTCGATTTGGCTGTCTCGTCCATATCATGGCATTTGTAGTTCTTTATGATAGCCCCATTAGCAGCTAATTAGCATTTCATTTGTTGGGGGTAAATGCAGGTGAATATATTGATAAAAGTCACCTTGTCCGAGAGAGATTTACACGGTTATCAAAACGTCATGTCAGGGTAAGCCTACACAAAAATGTGAGGTGTATGTGGTAAATTAAGGCAATCATGAGAGAAAAGAGAAACCCACGCTGCGTGCGTTTCTCTTTTATCTCATGTTATTCAATTGTTACCATGCACCTGCAACATGGAAGACAATTCATGCCCCAATTATTTTCAGGGGGCAGTGCGGTTTACCTCTGACTGTACTTATGGACAAATGTAATATATTTTTTATTGATTAAGAGAAACAGAATACAATTGGATAGATTTCCCCCAATTTTGTATTGTAGATATGTGGTAGCAGGGGCACAACTTTGGTTTTTATAAGTGGGGGGGGGGGACATAATTATTATTATTATATTAGTTTTCAGTCAGATAAACACTTCAAACAGCCTACCTGACTGTTCGGAGGCGTCCGCAACATACACCATGTTCGTACTCATTTCGCAATAACTGGAACTAGCAACAGCTAACATTGATTGAAATAAACAAAAACATTGCATTTACTATGCTTGATATTGTCTGGCACACAACCACGTGACTTGCAACTCACAAAATGGATGCATGAACAACAAAGCGTGTTTGGTAATTGAGAGTGTATTCAATACAGTGACTCATGTTAGAAATGGGGGTCAAACATTTGACATTTGAGGTTGGACGGATAAACCGTAGCAGAATCTTAGAAATATAATCTATAGAATAACAGATCTTGGAGAGGTATTGGAATGTTCGAAATGAACTGCCGATATCACAGCATTGATGGATATCTGTGCTCTTGAATACTTTGTGCAACATATCAATTGAACTGGCACTATCAGGACGGTTCTATGTGACATTTCTCATGAGACAGAAAATAGGGTCCATTCGACACATTCTATTTCTATCATCAAATTGCTAGGCTCTGGGCAGGGCATCGTTGGGTTGATATGCACTGGGCAGGATGTAGTTGGTAGCCATGGCGAGGATTGGAGCTCCGGTGGGGACACCAGGGAAGGGGCCGCTTGAGCCAGCGATGTCGATGTGAGAGTAAGGCAGAGGAGTGCCAGAGTCCACACCGTACTGATGAAGTGAAACAAGACAAACACATACAAACAGCGATTAGGTTAGATTCAGGGCTATGAACAGGGCTGTGGAGCATGTGTGTGTACCTTGTCCAGCCCAGAGGCCATGATGAGGAAGGCAGCGGGGGTCTGATGTCCACGTGGGGTAGCAGAGGATGGTAGGTTGTTGCTTTGCAGAATCTCCTCATACTCAGACTTCCCTTTATGGAAGTCATAGTCCTCACGCCTGATACTGGACACCTCAAACAGATCACCCAGCACCTCTCCCGCTACAGAGAGGGAGAGAGAAAGGACTAACGGGTTACATACACCATGTTCATACCAGAAAACCCTGGTTTTCTGATTTGTTTGAATAGTGTGTGTCGAGCATCTCACCTTTCTGCCACTGATGGGCATTGCCAGAGCGATGGGCAGCTCCGTTGTCCATGATGATCTATAACCGAAAGAGTTTAATTTACATCATTAGCAATCATTCTCACCATGGCCAGTGTGCTATTTTATAAAGAGTCTGTATGGTACAGTACAGATACTGTGTGTGTATGGTACAGTACTCACAGAGTAGTTGGGTCCCATGGCTCTGATGGCATGTCCTGTCAGAGTGGCGATGGTGAACAGCTGAGGAGACGCCTCACGTACCGCCTGTTGAGAGAGGAAGAAGACATGAGATTAAGGAGACAGAGAATAGATTTGACAGGAGAAACAGGGAGAGTGAGGGAGGACATGGAATACAGTTGTGTTTCCTTTACCTTCTCTTTCATCTCACAAAGCAGGTCGACCATCACCATGCGTCCCTCAGCATCTGTGTTCCCTACACGAACCCTGCGACCCGCACGGGACACCACCAACTCATCAGCTACGTAGCAGTCTGACAGAACAGAGAGAGAACACAAAATCCTTAAACCCTCATTCTGTCAGAGAGACAGAACATATCCCACACACACACATTTAGAGGAGAGAGGGAAGAGGCCAACTACTCAGTAGGTGAAACCATAGAAATATAATCTATATTAGATATTTATATTCTATTTCTATGGGTGAAACCCCCACCCCACGACATCACACTGACCTGAGCCCACGCTGTTTCTCACCATCGCCATGGCACCCACCACCTTCAGATGCTTGGGCTTGAGTTTGGCCAGGACCTGACAGGACAGGAGACAGCTACATGTTAGCAGGAGTAACAGACTATATCAGGGACTATGAGTCCACTAGTAATAACTGAAGGGTATCAAAGTGTTAGTTATTTACCTGGAAGAACCCAGCCACGGCAGCAGCACCACACTTGTCTCTGTGCATGCCAGCCATGATGCCACCAGCCTTGATGTCAGCTCCACCAGTGTCATAGGTGATGCCCTGAGAGAGACACACACACAAATAAATGCACGCATGTTACACACAGAAAAACATGTTCATGACATGATAGAAACACCCCACTCCCTTTAAATCGCCATTATCAAATCATCATCTTCTCCTCTTCCACCCCAACTCCTTCCTCTCTCTCCTGCTCACCTTGCCGACCAGCATCAGTGTGTGTTGGATGGGTCCTTCTCCACAGTACTGCAGCTTGATTACTCTGGCCTGGTGACGAGGCACAGCTAAAGGAGACAAACACACATGGATGAAAAAGACACACACATACAGAAACAGACACACATATACAGTGAGGGAAAAAAGTATTTGATCCCCTGCTGATTTTGTATGTTTGCCCACTGACAAAGAAATGATCAGTCTATAATGTTAATGGTAGGTTTATTTGAACAGTGAGAGACAGAATAACAACAACAAAATCCAGAAAAACACATGTCAAAAATGTTATGAATTGATTTGCATTTTAATGAGGGAAATAAGTATTTGACCCCCTCGCAATCAGAAAGATTTCTGGCTCCCAGGTGTCTTTTATACAGGTAATGAGCTGAGATTAGGAGCACACTCTTAAAGGGAGTGCTCCTAATCTCAGTTTGTTACCTGTATAAAAGACACCTGTCCACAGAAGCAATCAATCAATCAGATTCCAAACTCTCCACCATGGCCAAGATCAAACAGCTCTCCAAGGATGTCAGGGACAAGATTGTAGACCTACACAAGGCTGGAATGGGCTACAAGACCATCGCCAAGCAGCTTGGTGAGAAGGTGACAACAGTTGGTGCGATTATTTGCAAATGGAAGAAACACAAAAGAACTGTCAATCTCCATCGGCCTGGGGCTCCATGCAAGATCTCACCTCGTGGAGTTGCAATGATCATGAGAACAGTGAGGAATCAGCCCAGAATTATACGGGAGGATCTTGTCAATGATCTCAAGGCAGCTGGGACCATAGTCACCAAGAAAACAATTGGTAACACACTACGCCGTGAAGGACTGAAATCCTGCAGCGCCCGCAAGGTCCCCCTGCTCAAGAAAGCACATATACAGGGCCGTCTGAAGTTTGCCAATTAACATCTGAATGATTCAGAGGAGAACTGGGTGAAATTGTTGTGGTCAGATGAGACCAAAATCGAGCTCTTTGGCATCAACTCAACTCACCATGTTTGGAGGAGGAGGAATGCTGCCTATGACCCCAAGAACACCATCCCCACCGTTAAACATGGAGGTGGAAACATGCTTTGGGGGTGTTTTTCTGCTAAGGGGACAGGACAACTTCACCGCATTAAAGGGACGATGGACGGGCCATGTACCGTCAAATCTTGGGTGAGAACCTCCTTCCCTCAGCAAGGGCATTAAAAATGGGTCGTGGATGGGTATTCCAGCATGACAATGACCCAAAACACACAGCCAAGGCAACAAAGGAGTGGCTCAAGAAGAAGTACATTAAGGTCCTGGAGTGGCCTAGCAAGTCTCCAGACCTTAATCCCATAGAAAATCTGTGGAGGGAGCTGAAGGTTCGAGTTGCCAAACGTCAGGCTCGAAACCTTAATGACTTGGAGAAGATCTGCAAAGAGGAGTGGGACAAAATCCCTCCTGAGATGTGTGCAAACCTGGTGGCCAACTACAAGAAACGTCTGACCTCCGTGATTGCCAACAAGGGTTTTGCCAAGTCATGTTTTGCAGAGGGGTCAAATACTTATTTCCCTCATAAAAATGCAAATCAATTTCTAACATTTTTGACATGCGTTTTTCTGGATTTTGTTGTTGTTATTCTGTCTCTCACTGTTCAAATAAACCTACCATTAAAATTATAGACTGATCATGTCTTTGTCAGTGGGCAAACGTACAAAATCAGCAGGGGATCAAATACTTATTTCCCTCACTGTACACACTTACCATTGGCACAGCGGTTTACAGCAGCGAGGCAGGGATACTCCTTCTCCAGCACCTTCAGATCACTCACCACATCCACCTGAGAGACAGGCCCGTTCAGCATTATCACATTAACACTAATACATTAGTGAGATCCAGTACTTGAGACAAGTAGAAATGAGATATGCCGGCGCTTCTATGGAATGAGGTGCTCATCTAGGTAAAGTCATATTCTAAAAAAGAAAAGGTGATGGCATCTCCCAAAAAGACCACAACTAAGTGCTTTGACAATGATCGATTAAGGTCGAAACAAAACAGCCTTTTTAACTAATAGAAAAGCCACTATGAATAACAAAATACTTTTGTTGTCTTTTTGTGAGATATCTTCACCTTTTCTTTTTTGGATGTAGGAGAAAAGCCTCTCTCTCACCTGCACTGGGCTCTCCTTAAAGAGGGCCTGGACGTACTCAGCCACACGAGGAGCAGCCATCCTTTCAGGATCGGACCCTCCTATGTCACGGCAAGCCAGCCTGGAGAGAGAGAGGGAGATGGAGGGCCAAGGGAAGAAGAGAGAAAGATCATAGTAAATATATATAAACCGAGTATACAAAACATTAAGAACACTTGGTCTTTCCATGACAGACTGACCAGGTGAATCCAGGTGAAAGCTATGATCCCTTATTGATGTCACTCGTTAAATCCATTTCAATCAGTGTAGATGAAGGGGAGGAGATGGGTTAAAGAAGGATTTTTAAGCCTTGAGACAATGGAGACATGGATTGTGTATGTGTGCAATTCAGAGGGTGAATGGGCAAGACACAAAATGTAAGTGCCTTTGTGAACAGGGTATGGTAGTAGGTGCACCGTTTTGTGTCAAGAACTGGAATGTTGCTGGGTTTTTCATGCTCAACAGTTTCCCTTGTGTATCAAGATGGTCCACCATACTAAGGACTTCTAGCCAGCTTCACACAACTGTGGGAAGCATTGGAGTCAACTTGGGCCATCATCCCTGTGGAACGCTTTCAACATCTTGTAGAGTCCATGCCCCGATGAATTGAGGCTGTACTGAGGGCAAAAGGGGGGGGCTGCAACTCAATATTAGGAAGGTGTTCCTAATGTTTGGGATACTCAGTGAGCACCAACAGTATTGGGACAGCGACAATTTGTGTTGTTGTTTTGGCTCTGTACTCCAACACTTTGGATTTGAAATGATACTATGGCTATGAGGTTAAAGTGCAAACTGTCAGCTTTATTTTGAGGGTATTTTCATCCATATCGGGTGAACCATTTAGAAAATTACAGCACTTTTTGTACCATTTTAGGGGACCAAAAGTATTGGGACAAATTCACTTATATGCAGGGGCGCAACTTTCACTGGGGACGGGGGCACATTCTGAAATTGCATTTTTGTCCCCCCCAGTTTTATCATTGCAGTGTGGCACGGGTGTGCCTAAGCACCATGCGGACGCCTCCAAGCGGTTGGGTAGGCTGTGTGAAGGCAAACCTTCTGGAAGACTGGACCAGCACGGGAGAGTTGAGCATAGTTCAGTGTGTATGTGTTGCGCTCTTTCACCGAGTTGCAAAAGCAAGCAGAGCAGAAACTGGCTAATCTTTAGTTGACTGATGTAGCTGGCAAGGTAACTGCTGTTTATCTTAACAGAAAAAACGACACTAGTGTTTATTCGCAGTGCTGAGCTAGTATTGTAATTGACATGTAACATTAGCTAATGTTTCATCCCCTCTCGACTGAGGTGAATGAATAAGCTACACTAGCTACCACAGCCAGGTTAGCTCTAGCCTCTAGTTATCTGTCAGATAGCGATATGAGGTGGCTATAATTACTATCTAACAGCTTTTGTTTGTACGAAAATGTTTTGTCAACTTTGTTTTGTCCCGTTTCAGAAGTAAATGAACTTGGCTAGCTTTCGCCAGCTGATGTACCATTAGAGAGAGAGCTGGCCAAAAGTTGGCTAACGTTAGCTATTCTTTTTGCCTCAATCACACTAACGTTAGACCTGAATCAATCTATGAAACCATCGGCCAAACGATAGAAGACTATATTCTGACATTTTTTCAGTGCAATGTGAGTTTTATTAGTTAGTATGGCAATGTAACGTCATTGATCTGTCAGTTTCCCTAGCTAATTCCCTACTTTTCACACTTGCACAGTAATAAACAGCTCTAACGTTACAGGCTTCACTGTCATGGTGCAAAGTAGAGGTCTGCGTGGGACCGTTTTCTTCATCCCACTCCCGCTGGCTTTCTGTCCGACTCCCACTGTCCCAAACCCAACTGCAGTACCGCAGTGTTACTTTAGGCGTATGTGAGCAATTTTGCGCCCTATAGGCAATATCAAATGCGCAAAAATAACTTCAGAAATAGGTTAAATTACCAGAGATTCTCACATGGCCCTTATTACTGGGCTATTTCAGCCAATATGCTAGATCTAGTTTGAAGAGAGCGGAGTTGGAGAGACTTGCATTCACTTGAGCTATTTTTATAGCCTACCTTTTAGGAGTGGGAAGATTTTCAGACGAAGAAATATGGGTGAACAATATTTAGGCCTATTTCTAGGCAATGTAGTAAACTATAGCCTAATCATAGGCCTATTTAGGAAGTACATTTCCTTCGAAATATAACTGCCCCGTGCTTCTCCGCCCATGCATAGGCTATAGCCTACTCTATTTAATTGAGACCAAACGCGCACCTGATCTCGCAGGTATGGCTACTGAACTTGAAGCAGCAAGAATGATGACAGCGACACTTGCTACGTTTTGCATAGGCCTATAGGATATAGCCTACCTTTTAGGAGGATGATTTGCAGGCAGAGACAAATAAATGGGTAATCAATACTTATTGAAAATGAAAAGGCGCAACGCTCGCTCACCATAGTAGCATAACCTATGTGCGCATTGTGCCTTTACCTTTTCAACAATTATTTTTGATTGCACTTCGACTCACGTTGGTTGAGCGCCCTCCACTTCTTTCCATTATCACTATTTATTTACAGACACTGTAGTAAACTGCAGTCTAGTCATATATACGTTAATTTCATATTCAAGTTACCTGCCACGTGATTCTCCGCCCATGTAGGCACCCTACTCTATTTCAATGAGACCACACATACTAGCGGCACTTGAACTCTCACGCCCAACTAGGAGAGGTAGGCTACTGAAGTTGAAGCAGCGAATTCTGAGTGTGTGAATATTGCGAAATATGTGTTTTTAATACAATAGGTAGGGTAACACATACAAAGCAGAAAGAGGACTGTTTCCAAATATCCTGTGGGACAACACAAATATTTCCTTCCCAAAGTCGTCTGTCTGACCGCCCGCAACATGAAAAATGCCAACCGCGCCGCAATGATCTCTGTCGGGACCCGCAGGCAACCCGTGGGAATGCAGCCCTCTAGTGCAGTCAGTACACAACACTATGCTCATCATGTCTTAGCAGGATCAGATGGTGACAGGGGCCCAGCCGGGTCAGACAGCCAGGGAAGACCAGTATATGGAGCTCAGGTGTATTTTGCAGTATATTAACAATATCAGTGAATAATACAAAGTTCCATCTTGAATTGATGGGTAGACCTACAGTAGCTACACCACAGTTTAAGCTTAAAGCTACAGTCTGGGATCTGGGAATAATGGTCATTTCAATTATTGAACCATTGATTCTATTCTTGGATAATATAATGTATAAATGTACACCAAGGTAATTCTTTGTCATGCCTCATTTTAGGAGGATCAGATGGTGACAGTGGTCTCAGCAGGGTCAGGCAGCCAGGGAAGACCAGTCTGTGATGGAGGTGAGGTGCATTTTTGCAGATATAACACTTTATTCTCTCTGTGCAGCCAACACTGGCACAAGCCAGATGCTATTGTAAGGCAGTCTGACAAACCTCCAAAGTTGATTTCCAAACTGTATCAAGCGTTGACAGAGGCTTTTCCAGATGACACAAAACATGTAAAACAAAAATGTGAGGAAGACCTGGTAGAAGCTATTGATGATGATGAATGGATACAGATATGTTTGAATGCCCAGTCATGTTCATATCATCTCAGACATAAATGACTGCAGTTTAAGACCATCCATAGAACGTACAAAAATATAAATGCAATCTGTAAAGTGTTGGTCCCATGTTTCATGAGCTGAAATAAAAGATCCCAGATATTTTCCATATGCACAAAAAGCTTGATTCTCTCAGATTTTGTGCACAAATTTGTTTACATTCCTATTAGTGAGCAGGCCACTCTAAAAAGGGCACTCAACACAATGCCACAGATGAGGGCGCATGCAATTGGCATGCTGACTGCAGGAATGTCCACCAGAGCTGTTGGCAGAGAATTTAATTTTTATTTCTCTACCATAAGCCGCCTACGTCGTCGTTTTAGAGAATTTGGCAGTACGTCCAACTGGCCTCACAACCGCAGACCATGTGTGACCACCCCAGCCCAGGACCTCCACATCTGCTTCTTCACCTGCGGGATCATCTGAGACCAGCCACCCGGACAGCTGATGAAACTGAGTATTTCGGTCTGTAATAAAGCCCTTTTGTGGGGAAACACTCATTCTGATTGGCTGGGCCTGGCTCCCAAGTGGGTCCCTCCCAGGCCCACCCATGGCGCAGTCATGTGTAATCCATAGATCAGGGAATAATGAAATTATTTCAATTGACTGATTTCCTTATATGAACTGTAACTCAGTAAAATCGTTGAAATTGTTGCGTTTATATTTTTGTTCAGTATATATGCCAGTGAAACTGAATTACATGCACTCAGAAATGTCATTCCTCTGCTAGAGGTATAAACCACAAAAGGGGACATATTTGCATATGTTATGGTCTCGTGAAGGCTGGCTGAATTCTGGCAAAGAGTATGTTCTTTTATCTCAGCATGTCTATAGATTCTCCCTTCTCCCAGTTTTTGTTTGCTTGGAAATGTTGATACAGGATACTTATCTGAAGAAACTGTGTAACCAAGCATTTATAGTGGCTAAGAAATGCTTTGCCATTAATTGGAAGGTTGGTTATCCTCCCACAATGTCAAGATATGCATCACTAGATTTATTACAGGATAAAGGGTATACTGGGAAACTTTAATAAGGTCTGGATGCCTAATATGGAGTACATTACGACTTAAGGAGTCTGTATTGAAAACATGCCCACGTCAGGGGAGATACCCATTTTGGCAATCCCTAGCTGCTGGACTGCTCAGTCCTGGCCCTGGGGGTCTGCCGTCCTGTGGGTTGTCACTCTGGCATTGGCTTAACACACCCAAAACCAATAATGAATGTTTCACTAAGATCCTAAAGCTGAGTGGGGTGTGTTGGGTTGGGGCGCTGCAGGGGGGTAGACCCCTAGGGACAGGACGGGGCGACCCAGCCATATTGTGTGCAAGTAAAAAGAGCTCTACAGTACTATTAGTCCTATGAGATTAATTATATGGAGGATTTGCTGTTTGTGTGTTAATGTATATGTGAGGTGTACAGTATGTGGGCTTTTTGTTAGTTTTTTTGTTTCCAAACCTTTCCCTTGGGAATTAAAAAATTAAAGGTGTGAACTGGGAAGGAAATTGTGTTGGGAGAGAGTTGAGTTATTGACTAGACTGGTGGGGGTTGGGTGTGCATGCGGCTTTTTTTCAAGAGTTGTTCATTTGTTAGGCTATTGGACAAAGGTGCAACACAATATTTATTATTGAATTACCTTTGATCTAGTTCAGTCTTATTAATCACTTAAACATATTTAATAATGATCTCTTACCTAGCTTGATGACTGTGTGCATTTTTGCTTACTTTTTGTTCTAAAAAATGCAAGAAATGAGCTTTAGATGCCCCCAGACCCCCGCCAGGTTATGTCCCTCCCACTTCAAAAATCAAAGTGGCACCCCTGCTTATATGTGTATTAAAGTAGTCAAAAGTGTAGTATTTGGTCCCATATACCTAGCACGCAATGATTACATCAAGTGTGTGACTCTACAAACTTGTTAGATGAATTTGCTGTTTGTTTTGGTTGTGTTTCAGATTATTTTGTGCCCAATATAAATAAATGGTAAATAATTTTGTCATTTTTTAATCACTTTTATTGTAAATAAGAATAGAATATGTTTCTAAACACTTCTACGTTAATGTGGATGCTACCATGATTACGGGTAGTCCTGAATGAATTGTGAATAAATGATGAGTGAGAAAGTTAGACGCACAAATATCAGTTGGATAACAAAGCAAGCACTCTATCATGTACTGTAGGAACTATCTTCCTTTATGTGCAATCATGGATCTGGAGTGAATCTGACATATAGTTCATGAGAAGATAATTTTGAGCATTAGCGTTACATTTGCAAATAATTCATTGTTAGTTTCCTTGTTTTCGATATAAATACCAAATTCAGTGTGGTTCATCTTACGGACGTGCATGATAGCAATGAAAAGTTTCAAGTTGATAGGCCTCGTAAAATCTGATTTTTGATTTGTCAATAACTCAGCCATCTTTTGACCTATCCCTTAGCTTTTCTCAAACCAAGTTAAGACATGTACCACCATGGGCCTACATTCCAAATGTGGTGTCATTTGGTCCTATTGTTCATGAGAATAAGATTTTAAGTATTTTCCTAGCATATATTAGCGTATGTGCTAAATGGATCTACTGGTATAGTGTGGCTATCTTTGAATGCATCAATTTTATTTTCTCAAACTCTTTAGGGACTATTGTGATGAGTCCAAAGACCACATTTGGAGCGAATCTGACAGTCCATAAGAAGATTTGTTTTATAATTACATAGTAAAATAAGTGAATTGTTAATCGTTTCCTTATGTTTTAAGATATAAATGCCAAACTTCACATGGTTCATTATGTTAATGTCTTTGATGACCCTTAAAAGTTCCAAGTTGATAGGCTATCGTGAAGTGGATTTACAAAGGATTTAACCCATAACAGTCTAAGCCCTCGAAGTATGAAAAAAAAATATACAAAAACTATTTGAGGAACAATTAATTTTGGCCCTACTGCTATTAGCCCATACAAACGCATTGAACAACATATTCACTACATGGAACAACAAATAGTCCCCCCAACAAATCTAAAGTAAGTTTGTTCTGTATTGTCTGTCCTATACTTGAGAGATGTAAGAACGATAAGAAAAACATTTGTTATTTTATTTTACATGTATTTAACCCTTTATTTTTGGCACTAGAAAGTCTCCATATACACTACCGGCCAAAAGTTTTAGAACACCTACTCATTCAAGGGTTTTTCTTTATTTTTACTGTTTTCTACATTGTAGAATAATAGTGAAGACATCAAAACTATGAAATGACACATATGGAATCATGTAGTAACCAAAAAAGCGATAAACAAATCAAAATATATTTTATATTTGAGATTCTTCAAATAGCCACCCTTTGCCTTGATGACAGCTTTGCACATTCTTAGCATTCTCTCAACCAGCTTCACCTGGAATGATTTTCCAACAGTCTTGAAGGAGTTCCCACATATGCTGAGCACTTGTTGGCTGCTTTTCCTTCACTCTGCAGTCCGACTCATCCCAAACCATCTCAATTTGGTTGAGGTCGGGGGATTGTGGAGGCCAGGTCATCTGATGCAGCACTCCATCACTCTCCTTCTTGGTAAAATAGCCCTTACACAGCCTGGAGGTGTGTTGGGTCATTGTCCTGTTGAAAAACAAATGATAGTCCCACTAAGCCCAAACCAGATGGGATGGCGTATCGCTGCAGAATGCTGTGGTAGCCATGCTGGTTAAGTGTGCCTTGAATTCGAAATAAATCATACAGTGTCACCAGCAAAGCACCCCCACACCATGCTTTATGGTGGGAAATACACATGCCAAGATCATCCGTTAACCCACATCGCGTCTCACAAAGATACGGCGGTTGGAACCAAAAATCTCAAATTTGGACTCCAGACCAAAGGATACATTTCCACCGGTCCAATGTCCATTGCTCATGTTTCTTGGCCCAAACAAGTTTCCTCTTCTTATTGGTGTCCTTTAGTAGTGGTTTCTTTGCAGCAATTCGACCATGAAGGCATGATTCACACAGTCTCCTCTGAACAGTTGATGTTGAGATGTGTCTGTTACTTGAACTCTATGAAGCATTTATTTGGGCTGCAATTTCTGAGGCTGGTAACTAATGAACTTATTCTCTGCAGCAGAGTTAACTCTGGGTCTTCCATTCCTGTGGCGGTCCTCATGAGAGCCAGTTTCATCATAGCACTTGATGGTTTTTGCGACTGCACTTGAAGAAACCTTCAAAGTTCTTGAAATGTTACATATGGACTGACCTTCATGTCTTAAAGTAATGATGGACTGTCGTTTCTCTTTGCTTATTTGAGCTGTTCTTGCCATAATATGGACTTGGTCTTTTACCAAATAGGGCTATCTTCTGTATACCCCCCCTACCTTGTCACAACACAACTGATTGTCTCAAACGCATTAAGAAGGAAATACATTCCACAAATTAACTTTTAAGAAGGCAAACCTGTTAATTGAAATGCATTCCAGGTGACTACCTCATGAAGCTGGTTGAGAGAATGCCAAGAGTGTACAAAGCTGTCATCAAGGCAAAGGGTGGCTATTTGAAGAATCTCAAATATAAAATATATTTTGATTTGTTTAACACTTTTTTGGTTACTACATGATTCCATGTGTGTTATTTCATAGTTTTGATGTCTTCACTATTATTCTACAATGTAGAAAATAGTATAAATAAAGAAAAACCCTTGAATGAGTAGGTGTTCTAAAACTTTTGACCGGTAGTGTATACTTGCATAAATTTGTTCAACTCTACCGGGGGACCTTCAGACGAGTCTTGTGGGGCCTGTGGGCATCCTAAAGCAAAACAACCGATGTCTCATGGTCTGACACCGCTCTAGCGCCGTCACCTTTCACCGCAAATGCGGAAGTGCGACATCAGCGGATGCGGTGGATTGAGACAGATATCAAATATCTCTAGCTTAAACTGACGGATGTTTATGGGGATTTCTATTATTATGCTAATTACGCTTCCGCTAGGGCACGGACATCGACTCTAGGTGGTTAAATGGACACGTAAAATCTGATTTCCTGATTTATCAATAACTCAGACATCTCACCAATCCCTTACATTTATTTCAAACTAAGTTAAGAGATATACCATGGGCCTACATTGGTGTGATTTGGACATATGGTTCCTGAGAATACATTTCTAAACAGGTTTTTTTTAAATTCCAAGACGGAGGAAAATCTATCCCAATGGACCTAATGGGTCCTTGAGGCAAATCTGTTCAGCATGAGGACATTTAACATATAAAAATGTATCCCCATAAGAGAGATCTCTCCTTTGTTACAGATGAAAATATGGGCGTGTGTGCGACTCACCGTCCACTCTCCAGAGCAGAGGCCAAATCCACCAACTCCTTCCCCTGGGCCTCCTGGTCCACCCACAGCCCCAGAACACACACCTTATACTGGCTAGGCTTCACAGACACCTCCCTCACCTCCAGAGGCTGGAAGAGATTGAGAGAGGGGAAAGAGAGAGATTGTGGATAAAGGATGAATGTCAGCACACCATTTGGAGCAAAAGACAATTGAGCTCCACCTGTGTGCAAAGGGTATGTTTTGTTTTAGGGGCATAGGAGTGCCTTCAGCTCGAAACAATGCACAATAAAACAACGGGAGCATTCGTCAGTGTGCAGGTATCTATTGCTTATTTCACAGTGTTCTCACCATGTAGAGGGCGTGCAGGGCCCCTAGGGCAGCAACCAGGGTGCTCCTGTCATAGCTGCTGTGACGAGGACAGACCAGAAGGGGGCGCTGCATGCCTGCTTTCATGGCCCTGAAGAAATACCCAGACAGTATATTTTAGTCATTTAGCAGACGACTTACAGATAGTGAGTGCATACATTATTTTTTTATTTTTCATACTGGCCCCCCGTGGGAATCGAACCCACAACCCTGGCGTTGCAAAGGCCATGCTCTACCAACTGAGCTACATCCCTGCCGGCCATTCCCTCCCCTACCCTGGACGACACCGGGCCAATTGTGCGCCGCCCCATTGTGCGCCGCCCCTTCCGGTCGCGGCCGGCTACGACAGAGCCTGGATTCGAACCAGGATCTCTAGTGTCACAGCTAGCACTGCGATGCAGTGCCTTAGACCACTGCGCCACTCAGGAGAGATACACACAGGACAGGAATACAGATATACAGTAACCTCTTGGTACATTTTGTGTGTACGTGTGTATGTGATGTTGACTTGGACCTCTTGATGCCATTAACGGCTGCATCGCTGAAGCGTCTGACGTCATCGTAGTCCCGGTTAACAGGCCCGGTGGACGCAAACACCAAGCGTTTACCAGGCAACCCCGGAACCATCAACACTACCACCTCATCTCCCAGACCACAGTCCACCTAGAGGAGAAAGAGAGAGAGGGAGGAAGGAGAGAGAGGGGAGAAGAGAAAGTAGGAGGGGTATATTCATCTATCTATGGTGTGGGTGTGTGCGCGTGACTCACAGCGCTGTAGTCCTGCAGAGGTGCTTTCAGACATTCCAGATCCTTGGGCAGTGTGTCATAACTCTGGGTCACCAAGACTATGCCATCATAACTGGAAGAGAGAAAACACACACACACACGTTTTGTTCTTCTACCCTTGTGAGGAACTAAAATTAATTTAGATTCAAAATCCTAATTTCCCTAACCCCGACCTTAACCCAAAACCTTAAAATAGCCTTTGTCCACGCACACGCACAAGCACAAGCACGCGACCTGACCAGCAGTTCCTCAATACTCACTTCTGGTTCTTACAGTCAGTGGTCCACTCGATGGGCTGGACACTATAGAAAGAAACGCACATTCAATACACCTCAATATAGGCTCAATATTATTGGTCTTGAGGGTCCAACTCAGTAGCCTGGTCCCAGATTTGTTCGTGCTCCCATTAGTTTGTTTGTGCTCCCATTGTCATGCCAAACAATGGGTGACAAGGAGTTGGCTACAATTATAGAACAAATAGACTGGCACTGGTTACCAAATCAGAGAATGGTGAGATAAAATATTGCTTTAAATTCCTGTCTGGTATTCTCTGCTTCAGGGTTAGTGATATCTGTCAGATTGGGTCAAAGACTGGCTTCAGAGAAACCTTTGGTCTCCAGATAATCTGCAGGACTTGTGCACACTTGGACTGTCAAGGGGACATCTCAATAGCCTTTTGCGTTCACCTGTCCAGTCTATGCACATCATTACAGATGCAGAAGGAAAGGAGATGAGGAAAGGACATACCTTTAGACCATTGAAATGCATGCTATGTGATATAATATATGCCATTTAGCAGACACTTTTATCCAAAGAGACTTATAGTCATGCGTGCATACATTTTACGTATGGGTGGTCCCGGGAATCAAACCCAATATCCTGTCATTTGAAGTGCCATGCTCTACCAACTGAGCTAGAGGACCATGAGATGCACCCTGTGTGATATGCAGAGTTGCAGACTATATGAGCCTGACTCAGTACTCATCTTTCCATTGCACAAACCATGCTTTCAGAATGAAATAGTGTTCTAAAAAGGACAGTCTTCCCTTTCTCTCACCCTCCCTTTCCTGTCATTTGGAATGAGAATAAAATGTCATGACATATGGGGAATGTTTCAATTTCAGATACTGTTTAGGGAAGTCACAAGAAGTAGGCACATGACCTAGGAACAGAAAGTGCAAATTGGGCGATTTGATTTTTGTCCATAGGGCATATAGGCCAATAGGGCTTTAATAGAAAGCTAGCTTGCTGGTACTTGGATGCAAAATTGCAACTATCTGGCTAAGCAGCTGTCTGCAAAGACAATGGACAGTCCACTCCATGAGGACAGATCAATAGGATTTAAATACAGTGCCTTCAGAAAGCATTCATACCCCTTGACTTATTCCACATTTTGTTTTACAGCCTGAATTCAAAATGGATTAAATATTTTTTTTCTCACCAATCTACACACAATACCCCATAATGACAAAGTGAAAAATGCTTTAAATAAATTTAGCAAATTTATTGACAATGAAATACAACATCTAATTTACCTAAGTATTCACACCTCTGAGTCAATCAATACATGTTAGAATCGCCTTTGGCAGCGATTACAGCTGTGAGTCTTTCTGGGTAAGTCTAAGAGCTTTGCACACCTGGATTGTACAATATTTGCACATTATTTTATTTTTTTAATAATAATAATAATAATAATAATATAATATGCCATTTAGCAGACGCTTTTATCCAAAGCGACTTACAGTCATGCGTGCATACATTTTTGTGTATGGGTGGTCCCGGGGATCGAACCCACTACCTTGGCGTTACAAGCGCCGTGCTCTACCAGTTGAGCTACAGAGGACCACAGTTGAGCTACAGAGGACCACAAGCTCAAGCTCTGTCAATTTGGTTGTTGATCATTGCTAGACAGACATTTTCAAATCTTGCCATAGATTTTCAAGCCGATTTAAGTCAAAACTGTACCCAGGCCACTCAGGGACATTCAACGTCATCTTGGTAAACAACTCCAGTGTATATTTGGCCTTGTGTTTTAGGTTATTGCACTGCTGAAAGGTGAATTTGTCTCCCAGTGTCTGTTGGTAAGCAGACTGAACCAGGTTTTCCTCTAGGATGTTGTCTGTGCTTAGCTCTATTCCGTTTATTTTTATCCTAAAAAACCTCCCTAGTCCTTGCCGATGACAAGCATACCAATAACATGATGCAGCCATCACCATGCTTGAAAATATGAAGAGTGGTACTCAGTGATGTGTTGTTTTTGCACCAAACATAATACTTTGTATTCTGGACATAAAGATAATTTCTTTGCCATATTTTTTGCACTTTCACTTTTGTGCCTTATTGCAAACAGGATGCATGTTTTGGAATATTTGTATTCTGTACAGGCTTCCTTCTTTACACTGTCATTTATTTTAGCATTGTGGAGTAATTACAATGTTGTTGATCCATCCTCAGTTGTCTCCTATCACAGCCATTAAACTAGAACTGTTTTAAAGTCACCATTGGCCTCATGGTGAAATCCCTGAGCGGTTTCCTTCCTCTCCGGCAAATGAGTTAGGAAGGACGCCTGTCTCTTTGTAGTGACTGGGTATATTGATACACCATCTAAAGTGTAATGAATAACTTCACCATGCTCAAAGAGATATTCAATGTTTGCTTTATTTAGGTTTACCCATCTACCAATGGTGCCCTTCTTTACGAGGTATTGGAAAACCTCCCTGGTCTTTGTGGTTGTATCTGTGCTTGAAATTCCCTGCTAGACTGAGGGCCCTTACAGATAATTGTATGTGTGGGGTACAGAGATGGGGTAGTCATTCAAAAATCATGTTAAACACCATTATTGCACACAGAGTTAGGCCATGCAACTTAGTAAGCAAATGTTTACTCCTGCACTTATTTAGGCTTGCCATAACAAAAGGGTTGAATACTTATTGACTCGAGACATTTCAGCTTTTCATCTTTAATTAATTTGTAAAAATGTCTAAACATAATTCCACTTTGACATGATGTTTTTTTGTGTGTGTAGGCCTGTGACACAAAATCTACATTTAATCCATTTTAAATTCAGGCTGTAACATAACAAAATTAGGAAGAAGTCAAGCGGCGTGAATACTTTCTGAAGGCACTGTATGCACGCAATGCTGTTCAGGAAAACCACGTCTCAATAAGTTACATCGCTCATTAATTAATACCCAATAACAACAGATACTGCAAAAATGCATTTCATAAATTACATATTCTGAAGGAAACTTTGCACGGAACGGCTAACTGTATGAATAGATAGGCTTACTGGGTACACATTGCTGGCCTTCCGACGTCTTGAGGGAAAAAACATCAAGCCAATCTGTCCTCTGACACGACGAAGCTTCCTCAGTCAATCACGTGATTTATCAATGTCCTTTCAACGTAGTTGTAGTTTTTACATGCTGATTACTACGCGGAAATGTGCAGATTATCTACAATAACAAAAAATCTCCAAATATAGTATCAATTGGAAGTGTTATATATATATGATGTACATACTAGAAAAGTACCTACACTTCAGATTATGTATAATTGAGAGCAGTGAGTGACAGTATTCAATAAACTAAACTACAAATACCAAACCAGGAAGTGCACTCCTATGCATGTTGTCTTTTCAGTAGACAAGCCAGCAAGGTGAGTGCCTGATCATTGGTCCAAAGTGCAATAATGAGACGATTTTAGAGACTTTTCACTTGACTGACGATATGATATCAGTAAAATTAGCTACTCTTGATCGACTTGAATATATTTGCAGATTTGGCTGTGCAACATTGTTGTTGGCTGGTTGTGGTTATTTTGCTTTTCCGTAGGCATTCAGTAATCACTGGTGATCAGGTAGGACAGTTTTAACTTTATACTGTGCGACTTTGTATTATCTTGATTGTAAAGATACTGTAACTGTACGTTATCTACAGGAGTAGAGTTTGAGCTCTGGCTGATAAGGTTATCACTAATAAAATAATTTACATTGCAACTAAGAGTTTGCAGGAAACCGTAAGGATTTATTAGATATTTTGGGAATTCCTTGGCTCTGTCCATATTCGGGTCGCTGAGGTGTCTAAGTGCAACTAGCTACGCTAGAGCTCTGTACTCATGAGTCACTTTACTGCATCATAAGACAGTATTTACATTTTAGTCATTTAGCAGACGCTCTTATCCAGAGTGACTTACAGTTAGTGAGTGCATACATTTTCATATAGGCTACTGTACTTTGAGATTATCTACAGAAATTGTTCAATACTTCCTTAATTGGTAATGGACAATTCTTAGCCCAACCTGTTGTCTGAAACTATTAAGTTCACCCCTTCACTTTCTTTCCTTTTGTACTTTTACTCTTTGTCTCTGCTTATCTCTCTCAGTATCTTTCCTGCTCTCTGTTCTCAGTAGATGAGACTTCCAATTCACTCCTTGTCTCTCATCTCGAGGAGCTTCTCTGATAGGCTGTCTGCTATCCCCGGTAGGCGGGGAGTGTGTGGCGCTGCGATGCGATTGGTGCAGTTCTGCCGCCAAGGCGATGAGGGAGGGGTTAGGGTCGGCGTTGATCGGGGGGAGGGGCTAGGGGTCATTGACCTTAAGGCCTTTGACCCTTCAATGCCAATGACAATGAGAGAGCTGCTGGAGATGGGAGCGAAGGGCATGCAGTGTGCACAGAGGTAACACATGCACAACACACACACACTTTCTTGGTGCTTGTCAGTAGCAATCCTTTCCACCCAGAGCACATACTATCCTCTTTCTCTCAGGGCACTGGAGGCTAGTCCTACTCAGTGTGTGGTTCCCTTTGCGGAGGTGAGGCTGCTGTCCCCAGTCCTAGCCCCAGAGAAGGTGGTGTGTGTAGGGATGAACTACCGGGACCACTGCCTTGAGCAGAACGCACCTATCCCTAAAGAGCCAATCATCTTCAGCAAGTTCCCCAGCGCCATTACTGGGCCCTTCGATGACATCACACTGCCCGACGAGAGCCAGGTGAGAGCAGCCTTAGTCACTGGGCGTGTTCCTCTGCCCAGGTATTTTACGTATCAGCTAACCACATAATATGTTATAGCAATCTGGTGCCCGACGGCACAGTCGATGACGTGGTACGCAACCATTGGTTGATGCATGCAACGTCTGTGCAGGAGAACACGACCCCTATCAGGCCCAGAGAAGAAGATGGAGATGCAGTAGATATGCATGATCCTAGATCCGTGCCTGATACAATTAAAATGTACAGAGGCACTGTAGCTTGGATGTTACACAGTTTCTGCATTCAATAACTTAATTGATGGATTCTTATTCCTGCTTCTCTCTGATTGGAGGAGGTGGACTGGGAAGTGGAGCTAGCCTTTGTGATTGGACGAAAGGGGAAACACATTAAGGTGAGTCTGAATACAACTTGACACATAGGAGTTTCATGTCCCACAGATGAGCTCACTCTCCACCCCCCCCCCCCCCCAACCCCCCAAGGAAGAGGATGCTATGTCCTACGTGGCAGGTTTCACCGTGGCCAACGATGTCAGCGCACGTGATTGGCAAATGAAACGCAACGGGAAGCAGTGGCTGCTGGGAAAAACCTTTGACAGCTTTTGTCCTCTCGGCCCCGCCTTAGTGACCACCTCCGCTGTGATGGGTGAGGGAGGGAGAAACACAAGATAAAATATATACTTATAATTTGCTTACTTTGGCAGAGTGGTTGCTAAAATGTATGTATTTGTCGTCAGACCCCCATAACCTGGGTATCCGCTGTCTGGTGAATGGAGTTGCAGTCCAGAACAGCAACACTAACCAGCTGATCTTTAAGACTGAGCAAGTGGTGGCCTGGGTCTCACAGTGAGTCACACACACAATGTGTTCATAGTTCTTGTGATGGTAATACTTTACTTGAGCTCTCTGTCACAAGGGCTACATAACACTGTCAATAACAGTTATGACAACTGAGTAACACTGTCATCACAAAACCAATACTAATGAGTAGTCTACAGTTGCTGATAACAAAGATTTGCATGTGTGTGTTCTTTCCTGTGTTAGGTTTGTGACGTTGTCTCCAGGTGACGTGTTTCTGACGGGGACTCCTCCAGGTGTGGGCGTGTTCAGGAACCCACCTGTCTTCCTCAAGGTCAGCATCACACACTAATATAAAGACATTAGTTGTGTGCCAGGCCAACTACTTTGCAGATGTTGTAATGTATCAATCAATGGTTGTGTGCCACTTCGACTGATTGCTAAATCATATGATTTGGTTAGCTGATATGTTAAACACCTATCCAGGCGTTTTGAGATCTGACATGTGTCTGTAATGTAGTTAGTCTGGAATGAATCCGTATTGTTACATATAGTAATAATCAACTCCACATCCACTCCAAGCTCCTATAGGGCTAGGCACTTCCCATGGATCTAAAAAGATCAGATAGGGCACAAGAGTTACAAGCGTTGCATGTTGTGGTCCTGTCTTACGAAAGACGTAATGAAGTGTTCCTTTGTGTGTTTCAGAAAGGAGATGTGGTGGAGTGTCAAATAGACCAGGTCGGGGTCATACGCAACAATGTTGTCTGATCCCTGAAGCAGCCAGCCCATTGGACAGCTCTCTCTTCAATCTTAATTCAGCTCTCTTTGGACCCAAGTGTCATTAATCTAGTGTACTGTAAATCAGATATAATCCATGTTTAAAAGACTGCGTTTACACAGGCAGCCCAATTCTGATATTTTGTCAAATGATACGAATTAGACTGCCGGTGTAAACAGCCAAATATGTTGAATTAGGCTTGTTTGTAAATTCTATCAATCTAACTCAAGTTGCACATATATTGTGGAATGTCTGTAGAATTGAATAGGTTACTTTTATAAATCAAAGTTCTTTATTCTTGTTTTCTGTGATCCCTCTCATACAAAACATCTACTGTTATACTACAGTACCACTCACATGGCTAAATGTGTGACTAGTCTTCACAGAAATCATGTCTCCTATAACACTGTGCTTTCCAATGGCACCCTATTTCCTACATAGTGCACTACTTTTTATCAGGGACCAAAAGTCAAAAGTAGTGCACTATAGGAATAGGATGCCATTTCGGAAGCAACCAAGTGCCATTTGGGACAGAACCAAGTGCCATTTGGGACACAGCCAATGTGTCATGACAAAGATGGTATTTTTACCCAGAGAATTAGATTAATCAGGACTTCCATGAATTAAATCTGATGGATGTGCATTTAAGTCATTATGACTCATATAATTGGCTTTTTTGTTGTTGTTGAAAAAAGGAGTATACATATGCAACTCATGAGGTCAGATAGGGGAGCAGAAAGGTAAGAGTCTAGCTTGTGCAGGAATAGCAGCCACTTACCATGCCCACTGTGATGCTGTGTGAGTGTGTGACAAAGGGAAAGGCCAAGCAGCTAGCAAAGTACTGCTCTAAGTCAGCTGTTGTGGGTAGCTCATCTGGGGCCTCATTTATAAAGTTGGTTATGCACAAAACATGCGTGCACCAGTTTTCACGCAAAAATAGGCATTTTGGCAAAAACTGAACTTGACGTGAAAATGCGCTTATCCTCCTGCAAACTTTCGGCCAGGCGTATGCAAATGGAGAATATATGACTTATTCATAACAAAAACACAGGTAGCTAAAAATAATAACAAGATGCAATCATTTGCTGTTAGTGAGAAGAGCGAAAATCGATATATTTTATCTTTGCATTCTAAAGTAATTAGAAATGTATTTCTGATCATAGCTGTTATGTATGGTACGACGTGCTGTACGTCGTACTGTACGTTGTTATGGTTTACGACAGTGTGCTGCGTTACGGATGAATGGGTTGTCAGAATGCGTGGCACATGTCATTAAACGACAGAGTGATGTTCAATGTGAAACTGTGCAGATGTCCGTTCTTCTACAACTAGGCTAGATATAACATTGGCGACGAAGATGGCTGAATTCAGTTACCACCGCCAGCACCATTCCTCGCCGTGCCTGGCGAACCTCCAGTCCCGTGGAATAACTGGCTTGATAGTTTTAACACTTATCTAGAAGCTATGGACTTTTCTACAATCTCCGACAAGCGGAGGACAGCACTGCTCCGTCACTGCCTTGGTACAGAGGGACAGAGGATTTTCAGAGCGCTTGGATCGGCTCCTACATTCACTGCTGCAGTCAGCCTCTTACGGAACCACTTCGCCGGGAAAGAGCGAGTGCTCCTCCGACGCTACCGGCTACGGAAGAGACACCAACGGCCGGGTGAGTCCATTCAAAGCTACGTGGCTAATCTGAGGGATTTGGCTAGCTCTTGTAACTACGGGACACTTCAGGACGAGATCATCAGGGATCAGTTGATAGAGGGGACGTTATGTGAAAAGACAAGGGAGAATCTGCTTTTGGAATCGGATAATTTACAACTAGATGGAGCTATTAAAATAGCACTCCAGGTTGAAGCGGCGTTGGAATGCTCTTCTATGCTAACAGGCCCCCAGCCATTCTCACACAGCAGCTTCAGCCCGAGCAGGCGCACTACAACGATCACGCGCTGCGCACGCCCTCCCGCGTCGATAGCTGCATGGACACAGACACCGACATGCCCGTGCAGCAGGCACACAGACAAACAAACAGAAGTAGCTGTGGCAACTGTGGGGCTAGCTCTCACAATTCAAGGGCTTCAAACTGCCCAGCCCGTGGGAAAATATGCAAGAACTGTTCAAAATACAATCACTTTGCGAAAGTGTGTCGTTCTGCCCCTGCTACTAGCTCCACCCAGAACAGGCCCTTAGTTTCATCTCACTCTCAACATGAACACACGGAAATCCGAACCGTCTCCACCAACCATGTGTCATTCAGGACATGTACTGTGCAGCTGGGTGAGGTGGGTTTGCCTTTGCTGCTGGATACTGGCGCTGCGGTGTCGTTGCTCAACCTTGCCACTTACTACAAGTTTTTCAGTCACCTACCACTCCAACAGCCCTCCACTGCCCTGTGTGGGTACGGTAGATCTAAGATAGACATTGTAGGCACCCTCCAGGTCCCAGTACACTACGGCACCAAACATCTGCCATCATTCACATTTCATGTTGCAAAGCGGGGTGCCAACCTCCTGGGCCTCGACCTCTTCTCAGGCTTGGGATTCACACTGAGAGATGACAGTGGGTCAGCTATCTACCAGGTTACCTGCACATGGCAACAGAACTGGCCGACTCTGTTTGATGGACTGGGCTGCCTCACAGCCTTTACTCACAGGCCCCTAGTGAATCCGGAAGTGACCCCAGTCATGCAGCCCCTGCGGCGCATTCCCTTTGCACTGCGTGATGACGTCACAAAAGATCTCCAGTCACAGTTGGATGCAGGCATCATTGAGCCAGTCAACACTGCCCCCTGGATTTCAAACTTGGTCATTGCAACCAAAAAGTCAGGTGGAATCCGGACCTGTGTGGATCTCCGTGCTGTGAACAAGGCCGTTGTCCCGGATAAGTACCCCTTGCCTACAGCTGAGGAGCTGACCGCACAATTCCATGGCTCCACGATCTTCACGAAGCTTGACCTTCGTCAGGGTTATCTTCAGGTACCCCTCCATGCAGCTAGCAGAGACCTCACGGCCTTTGTCACACATGCTGGTGTGTTCAGATATACACGCATGCCTTTTGGACTTAGCTCCACCCCCAGCTGCTTCCAGAAGGTGATGAGCACCATCCTCGCTGGAATACCTGGGGTGGCGGTCTATCTGGATGACATCGTGGTCCACGGCCCTGACCTCCACATCCATGATTATCGACTCCACAGAGTATTCAGTGCTCTACTGCGGAACAACCTTACCCTGAACGGTGGAAAGTGCACCTTTGCAGCTCCAGCCGTCGAGTTTGTGGGCTTCCGCCTGTCGGCCAAAGGCATTGCCCCACTCATGTCGAACATTGAAGCCGTCCACCGGATCCCGGAACCGACCTCAGCCTCTCAGGTGGCCTCATTCTTGGGCATGACAGCTTACTACCTCCGGTTTCTGCCCCACTACTCTCAGACCACAGCGCCCCTTCGCCAGCTCCTCAAGAAGGATGAGCCATGGGCCTGGACGGCAGCCTACTCAGACGCGGTCCGCTCACTGAAGAGCCAGCTCACCACAGCCCCAGTCTTGGCTCACTTTGACCCCGTCTGCCACACCATTGTCACATGTGACGCCTCAGCTGGAGCACTAGGAGCTGTCCTCTCACAGCTGCAGAATGGCATTGAGAGGCCCGTCGCCTTCGCCTCAAGGGCCCTGAGCCCCACAGAACAACGGTACTCTGTGGGCGAACGAGAAGCACTGGCCTGTGTCTGGGCGTGCGAAAGGTGGCACCTCTACCTATATGGCCGTCTGTTCACACTCCGAACCGACCACCAGTCCCTCACAACGCTACTGTCAGCATCAGGAACTGGCCACAAGCCACTTCGGCTGCACAGATGGGCCGACCGCCTCAGACAGTATGACTATCAGCTGAAGTTCACTCCGGGGAGGGATAACGTGGTGGCAGACCTCCTCTCACGCTCCTTTGACGCTCCTACTCCGACCGTCTTGCCAGACGACAACGAAACAGAGCTTGTACAAATGCTCTACGCTCCTCTTCAGTCAGTCGTCTCACTGGAGGAGCTGAAGCAAGCATCGGAACAGGATCCCACACTGTCTACCCTGCGCACCTACATACGCACTGGATGGCCAGCACATGTGCCGGAAGAGCTGGCGACTTTCGCCAGAGTGAAGCACGAACTTTCTTGCTGGGAAGAAGTCTGTGTCTCTCGAGGGTTTTGCACTGTGGTCCCGAGTGGCCTGCGTGCGCGTGTTCTATCCATGGCGCACGAGGGTCACTTGGGCATAGTCAAGGTCAAACAGCGATGTCGAGACCTTGTGTGGTGGCCAGGCATCGACCACGACATTGAAGCCCTGGTCAGGGATTGTGCTGCATGCCTCCTCAGTGGGAAAACAGGACAGTCCGCCCCACCCCCCCTGCAGCCTCTCGCATGGCCGTCCCACCCCTGGGAGCACATCCAACTGGACATCTGTGGCGAGATCCATGGACACGCAGTCCCTCACCATCAGCGCTTCCTGGTGGTGGTGTATGACCTCCACTCTAAGTGGCCAGAAGTGGTTCCTGTCGGAACTGTCACAGCACAGGCCATCGTGGACATCCTAGACAGCCTGTTCACAAGGTGGGGCCTACCCCTCACCCTTACCACGGACAATGGGCCCCAGCTCTGCCGAGTTCTCCTCATATCTCAGCAACAAGGGAATCAAACACATCCGCACGGCCTACTACAACCCACAAGCTAACGGAGGGGTGGAACGCTTCAACCAAACGCTGAAGAACGGCATCAGAGCGCACCTGGTCCAGGGGTGCACGTTCCAAACTGCTTTGAATCAAACGCTAATGCACTACAGAGCAAGCAAACACACAACAACACAGGTCTCCCCGGCATCCCTCATGCTAGGTCGTGAGATGGAACTGCCACTGGACAGACTCAGAACACAGAGAGTAGCAGAACCGGCGACTAGGCGCACCCAAGAACAGCAGGCAGTGACCAGGCACCAAAGAGCAATGAAACAGCGTTTTGACAAGGCACACAGGGTGAAGAAGTCGATCATTCAAGTGTCAGACTGGGTCCGAGCCCGACGGCCTCAGCGGTGCAACAAAATGGCCTCATTCTGGTCGGACCCCTTGCAGGTCAGTCGACAACTGGGGCCCGCCACATT